CGCGTTCTCTGGAGTGATGAATCACCCTTCACCATCTGGCTGTCCAACGGACGAATCTGGGTTTGGTGGATGCCAGGAGAACACCAACTGCCCCAATGCATAGTGCCAACTGTAAAGTTTGGTGGAGGAGGAATAACGGTTTGGGGCTATTTTTCATGGTTCAGGCTAGGCCCCTTAATTCCAGTGAAAGGAAATCTTAACGCTACAGCATACAATTACATTCTAGACGATTATGTGCTTCCAACTTTGTGGCAACAGTTTGAGGAAGGCCCTTTCCTGTTTCAGCATGACAATGCCCCCGTGCACAAAGCTAGGTCCATACAGAAATGGTTTGTCGAGATCTGTGTGGAAGAACTTGACTGGCCTGCACAGAGCCCTGACCTCAACCCCATCAAACACCTTTGGGATTAATTGGAACGGCGACTGCGAGCCAGGCCTAATCGCCCAACCTCACGAATGCTCGTGGCTGAATGGAAGCAAGTCCCCGCAGCAATGTTCCAACATCTAATGGAATGCCTTCCCAGAAGAGTGGAGACTGTTATAGCAGAAAATGGGGGGCCCAACTCCATATTAATGCCCTTGATTTTGAAATTAGATGTTTGACAAGCAGGTGTCCACATACTTTTGGTCATGTAGTGTAGCAGTTAGCAAGTGTTGTTGGAGCTTAAAGGCTTCATACTGACAGAAGGTGTTGCTATGGTGGCATCAAAGGCCTTGCACACATCACACTCTCCTAACGCTCAATTTCCATCACCTCACATTAGCCTACAACGTCCCAATGGTAGCTGCCTGCCTGTAGGCCTGTATTTATCATTTAAAAACCTGTTTGTTTACAAATAGCTGGTCAAAAACACCAGTGATTGCTGTAGGTCCCATGTGGCTCAGTTGGTAGAGCATGGTGATTGCAACGCCAGGGTTGTGGGTTTGATTCCCAAGGGGGACCAGTACATAAATGGATGCACTCACTACTGTAAGTCGCTCTGGATAAGACTGTCTGCTAAATGTCAAAACTGTAAATGGGTAGATTCAGGCAGTTGAAGGGGAGAGATATGCAGATGTCAATGGATGGATACAGAAGACTCCTCCTGCCATCTCTTCCATCAAAAAGAGAGATACTGGTAGTCCTAACAGATGAATGTATCAGATGAAAATAACAGCATATTATTTACATTCTAAGCCACTAGTTAAAAAAAAGAAACAGATGCTGCCACCGGATGGAGGTGGTGGTAATGGATGGGTTGTTTTGGTGCTAGCTGGAATGATTATTGGTCTGGTCTTCAGAACACATCGTTAATGAGCTTCATTAAAATGATATAATTCTCGATGGCATTACGTCAGATGCAAATTGGCCTAATGTGGATTTGAGGGCTAGGGCCTCGGATGGTAGGGACCCTGGAGTGGCCTAATGGAGACAGTTGACAAATAGTTTCCTATTAGCGAGTTACTGTAACTGACCGACAGGTTTCAATGAGATAGGACTTCCATCTCCCTATATGGCCATACACACATACATCAATTTGACAGGTAGACAAACATTGACTGACCGAAGCAGAACCTACAAGGCGGGTGAGCAGTTACATGTACCTGGATTCAGGCAGTATGATTTTCTTGCTCGCTCGGGCCGCTGGAGTAGATTTGCTCTTCTCCATCGCCATCAAATAGCTGACATCCGCGAGAACTGCTTCGAGGTCCGCCATCTTCAACCCTGGTTCGACGGAGTCGATACAACACCAGCCGTGGGAATGTTTTTTTTATTTTTATCAAGCAAATGTCCACTGAAAATGGTTAGAATTTAAATCCAACCTGGGCGACCGAGGCAGCTATGCGGATGACAGAGGCGACCATCGACTGGAGCGTGTCGTTTTCTTCCTCTAGGTTCGGCACACACGGTCCCTCAAAACACAACCATTGTGACAGAAAAAAAAAATATTATCTATCATCTGGGTATTTTTGTGTGTGCAAAAAAATGGTAGTGGTTTCAATGGCAGATGTGGCCAGACAAGATTGATGAGATTTCGTTTACCACCTTTCAGAGAGCTTCACTTATTTAGATGGCCCACCTGCTAGATGTGGCGAACTAGCACTATCAGTTTAGAAGAATAATAAATCCCTAATACTAGCTAATAACTGTCAAACCCCACTGATCCTAGTTATATAGTTTGTTTTATCTTATTGGAAAGCTAAAATTGTAATATTGCGGTACGTGGTAGTCCAGTAAGACGTATGTTTCAAGCTTCCTAATTGCGTCTTGTCGCATCTGCTTCAAAATAAAACATGACTTTATACGTCGACAAAGATGGGTTGTATCAATTCTATCGAATTGGCATCCGATAAAGACATCCTCGTGTAATAACGATGACGGGGTAGAAAGCTAAAATAACAAGAGCAAGCCAGCTCGCCTGTAACACAAAAAAAATCTGACGAATGAATAGTCTAGATACTAGCGAATAAAGTAGTTAAATTCAGACGTATTCACCTAAATGAAAAACAATTGTTTTATTGGCATATAATCCTACACAGCGCTGTTTTCATATCGTCCGTTGTTGGCTTCCAGTCTGGCTACAATCTACTTTTTCAGAAAGAGGACATCAATCAAACCACATAGATGCAGGTTGCTAGCAGAATATTCCAGCACGCAAAAACAATGCAGAAACAATTTGCTAGATTCCCAACTAAAATCTACTTTAGCTAACTAAACGTTGGCGACAACTATCGAATTTAGCTAACGAGAACAAGCAATCAGTTGTTGGCATTAACGACGTTAGATGCAATATTTAAACTGTAAATTCAGCCAGGGAGAAGTGTTATTCCTAGCTGCTGTGAAAACCGTTGCTACTTGGTAGCGAGTTAGCCAGTAGGTAGCTGAATTTGAGCTAGTTGATCTAAGTAGCTACAGTAGCATATGTAACAAACTAGTGCTAGCTAACACAACCGCTTTATAGCACCGACACGAAACCCACTCATCCAGTTCGCTAGCTAGCTCGCCAGCTCAGTTAGCTAACGAATCCTGATCTTCAGCCAAATCCATGTTATTTCCAAAGAGACCAACGAAACCGCACACAATTAGCCATAATAATTTATTTCACCCCAGTGTTGTGGTCTGTCTGGCATGGAGACACCAGTGGCTAGCTAGCTGTGATGATGGGGGAGGGGGCGTTGGAGGAAATTGGCTAGTTAAGTTAGCTTGGTAACCGTCCACGGTTCCTCGCGACTGAGTCTTCAAGTAGAAGTTGAGTGTTTTTTTGGCGACCAACAGCTTGCTAACTAGCTGACCAACAGGCAATGAACGCTAAACGAACAACCTAAGTGCATATAACTTGGTAATATTTGCTGCCTGTCAGTGACTTCCTCGGTAAAGTTGTGACCATCCAACGTTTCTGCTCCTCAATCAGCACGAGCCGCAGCCGGGATCTGTGCATTCGACAGACTGACGACGCGGGAGAACGTTTGATATCCTGTTTGTTTACGGTCCTCGAAGAGGCACCGATTTCCTCTTGTTATCCCTTTTGAGTCCCAGTAAAAACAGTAGACTTTACTCCATTTCGTTGGCTGTGTTGTGTATTCTCAGAAACAAGCCCTAGTTAATTGTAAAAGCCCCACTTCCTCCAACTGCGACTAAGCAGCCTGGAAAACATGTAATGGAGCAGCACTACTCATGGACGCGGACCTACATTATTATAAATGCCCTATTACGATTTTAATCAAATTAAAACCATTATATAAAATGAGCAATATTTTGTTTAGCTATATATTTTTATTTTTAACAGTGTTAACTGCAAATTAAGATTACAGAATAGGATCAAAGAGGAGGTCGGTAGGCTGTCATGGGCATATTTTATTAGTATTACATGAATAATATATAACAGACACTTCTGGGTGATAACTAGCTGGATCAATCCAATGGACCAATCCCTGAATCAACAGACAATTAACTAATCTGTGAACCTTGAAACCACGTTATTGTAGGCCTACGTTGGAGACCCATTCCTTTGCTAATTTGTTGTAAATTGAGGCTATCAATTACTCAGATTTTGAAGCATAGGCTATATGAACCTATGCATATTTAATCGATAAACTTTATTTTTCTGATATCCAGTACAGACCTGGGTTCAAATACATGTGTATTTGAGTATAAATATTTAAAATAGATGTATATATTTGAGTATTTTCAAATACACAGCCCAAAACAAGTTTCAGTATTTGATTATTTGAATGGTTATTTGTAAAAAATAAAAATAAAATAAAAATAATAAAACAAATGTTTATTCAAATGATATTTTCAAATACCTGGGTTAAATACTTTCCAAGTATATTTCCAAATAGGCCTACATTAAAATATTCAACTTCTTGTCTTTTCAAATAAAATATATCTGAATACTTACTTCAAATGAATGTGAAAGTAATTCAGATATTTGAAAAAGTATTTGAACCCAGCTCTGATCCAGTAGCCTAGACATTTGGCATTTAACATTAATTGACCGTTAGTCATTATATAGCTATAAAATACTAATTACTGACAAATGTTGTTGCGCTTTAGAGTATACTACAGTGATTCCTTGTGAACAAGCATTTTAAAAATGGAAAGCAAATTCTAATGAAAGCATGGCAAAATTGGGCTTCCACTGTCCACCTGACCCTTCTCATAGCAGGTCTGTCACGGAAGGACGCTTTGTGTTATGTCATCAGTATAATGTGTGTGATTCTATCCAGCAATGTGCGTCATCACACCGTTAGATTTGATTTAACCAATCCGCGTTTTATTATGATATTTAACTTTTTTAGAGCCATCACTGGAGACCCATGGAGACGTAGCGCCGCCTGCTGGCCAGTGAATATATTGTTGTCAGAAGTACTCGAACATGTCTAAATATCCCTCTGTATAATTGTTTGTTTATTTATTTATTTAATTGTTTGTTTGTCTCTAGCTATATATCTCATAGTACCATTTCATCTACAGTTGGCATACATTCAGAGAGGAAGAAGCATGGCTGGTAGGTCAGTGATGTTTTAGAAAGACAGTTTATTCAGCATTGGGTAGCAGTGGGGATAAGCTTTGGGTAACAGGGGTGAGGTTACTGCTGAATGCGGCGGATGGACTGGATCTGAGGGGTCTGGGAGTGGGAGCCGAACTCCCTGAAGTGCTTGTACTCGCCGCAGTGACGGTCACATTCCATGATGTACTGGTAGCCACGGTATCCGGGGTACTGGTAGCACACAAAACTGTTAGGTAGAGAGACAGAGAGATTTCAGAGTCAGTTGGCGGTAATGGCTACTATGAGGCTAGGGGAGTAGTAAAAAATGAAATTGGAGAGAGGATGAGAGAGATTCATAGAGAATGTAAGAGAGAGAGGCAGATTGGAGTGAGAGCTCGAGAGTGAGTGTAGTATTACGTGTTTACTTTTCTATTATTTCTCTATTTTCTTTCTCTCTGCATTGTTGGGAAGGGCCAGTAAGTAAGCATTTCACTGCTAGTCTACACCTGTTGTTTACGAAGCACGTGATGAATAACATGTGATTTTTAGAGAGAGTGAGAGGGAGGTTGACTTTGTTAAGGGCTGGCTACTCACGCTCCAGACTGGATCCTGAGGGAGCCGACCTCGTTGTTGCACCAGCCCATGGCCTGAAGGGAGGGGTAGTCGTCGCTCAGCTCGCCCTTACGACCCAGGAAGTTCTCGCGCTCATAGATGGTCATACGGCACTCCCTGTGGTTCTGGAGGGGAGAGGACGGTTGGAGAGGATGTCAGTCAAGAGGAAGAGTGTACAATAGATAGCGGTAGAAAGAGATAGGAATAGAGTGAGAGAGAGAGGGGGTGGTGGTTGGGTTACTCACAGCGCAGGCAATGGGCCTGAAGGAGGTCATCCTCTCTATGTGGTAGGCGTTGCTACCTCCGAAGGCGTCGCACTGGGGGTACTCTCCTCTCTCCAGCACAAACTGCTGGCCCTGGTAGGAAGCATGCTCATAGCCAACCCAACTATAGGAGAGAGGGAGAGGGACAGGGAGTGAGAGAGGGAGAGGGACAGAGATTCCGTAGAGATCATCATTTTCCCTCGGCTTCTGTGAGCAATAGTTCTAAAGTCTGAAACCATACAGTGCTAGGTCTGTGTGAGTGTGTCTGCATGTGTATGTGGATTTGTGTGTGTGTGTATGAGTACTCACGCTCCACTCTCAATCCTGAGGGAGCGCACAGTCTCGAAACCGAACTCCATCACATTGCAGCACTCGGAGGTGAACTCATGGCGACGGCCCTGGAAGCACTCCTCGTCGAAGACAATGATCTGAGAGGGGCAGAGAGAGAGACACATGAGAGTTACATACTGTATCTATCTATTTACCGGGACAGGTTAAAGCTGAGGTTTGTGTGCAGCCATAATTGTCTCTATAACTCCCTCTTTAGAGCTGTGCTATCGGTCAATTCGGTTCTAATGACAGTTACATGAACCTGGATAAATGGACCAATCGTATGAGACTATGGTAATGCAATGTGGTCTGTTTTGTCTAAATTTGGGCAGTGTGTAAACTGTTCAGCGGGAACAGAAATAGTGTGTCTAGACCCGAGCCTGCTGTTATGACAGAACAGGCTCCTGTGATAAACGGTGTGTCCTGAGCTCAGCCTGTTTCTCACAGAGCCCTCTGTTAAAGAGCTTTCCTGGACACACAGGCAGGCCATGCTCAAATACTTTACAAATCCATCCTTCCTCCTCCTCTTCCTTCCTTGGGGTAATCACTGATCTGACATGGCTGGATAGGTGGAAGTACACTACATTGCTTTCAGATCATTGACTACTGCAAGAAAGGATGAATTGTAAAAGTATTGAAACAGGGCCAAAGCAGACCTTTAGATAATGCATTGAGCTGTGCTGTCATCCACACACTCAGTTAATCAGTTTCACATACCTTCCAGTGGCCGGAGAACTTGGTGCAATGGTGAGTCATCTTGTCTGGAATGAGAGAGGACAGATAGCAGGACTGTTATAAACAATTGTAGTTTTACTAAGCGCAGAATGTTACATTTGTGCAATGTACAACTCGTGATGCTAGTTAGACTGCAGAGAGTTTCTTTCCCACACATTCATACTCACATTATACACACACTCTCACTCCCTCACACACACACACAAACACACACACTCTTTCTTCTCACATTATTAAAACACACATACCCCAGACACACAACAAAGTTTGGAAACAAAGTTAGCCCATATCAAAAATACTGAGCATCAAACAAATATATGGGTGAAAATAAAACACAAAACAAATGAAATAGCTGGTGGAGGGAGAAAATGGAGCAGCATTGTGCTCCAAACCCCAGAATAGTTTCCAGTGGCAGGTTAGCACAGCAGGACTCCATCCATGTGTATAAACTATTCATACTCTACGACCGCAGCTACGCTATGATACGCTACGCTATGCTACGCTACATGGCCTGCTTTTGTACTGAAAAGGCCCATACAGCTCCAATGCTCTAGAATGTGAGAAGGCTGGTTTAGCTTTGTATGCAGGGTTAAAAGGCTTGATTTAACTATGTGTTGGTCGGGGCTGAAACGCCTGTGAGGCTAGTATCCCAGCGAGCCTAAAAGCATAAGCTGTGGAGCAACTGGCCTGGACAGCAGGACCATTGTGTGAGGTTGGATTGAAAAAATCAGCAGCTATTTACAGATCCCCGATTAGAATGAGGAAAATCCAACTGGCCAGGGGCCATATCCAGGATACTCCTCTATGTCTCTTTTTCCCATTTTTTCTCCTCACTCCATCTCTCTTTCTCTGTCCATCCTATGTCGGCCCCTGGTCCCTGTTCCCACCGCCCAGAGTTAGGCCCCTGGGCCTGCTTGGCTGCGGCGTGAAGTGGTGGGGGACAGACCAAGTCAGTATGGGGCCTGCTACCCTACCCTGGGTACTCTGCCCTGCTCAACCTGCCTGCCTGCCTGGCTTGCTGAGTGGATGATCAGGCTGGTGCTGTGGTTCTATGGGTGGGACAGAGGGACTCACCTTGCTTTGATGCCCTTGGCTGTCCTGGAATGAGAGTGAGAGGACTCACGCGCCCCCACCCTTTTAAAGCCTCCCCTGGCAAAGGGCCACGCTGAAAGCCCCGGCTCAGCAGCGGGGAGGGGCCTCTCTTTGTCCCGCCGACAAAAGCAGGGTTAATCTATAGAGGGCCAGAAGTGCAGACACCACAGTATCACCCAGGGCCAGAGATAGGGAGAAGATGAGGAGAGAAGGGCACTTAGAGAGTATGTCAAGAAGAGGAGGAGAGAAGGGCACTTACAGAGCATGTCAAGAAGAGTAGGAGAGAAGGGCACTTAGAGAGCATGTCAAGAGGAGGAGGAGAGAAGGGCACTTAGAGAGCATGTCAAGAGGAGGAGGAGAGAAGGGCACTTAGAGAACATGTCAAGAGGAGTAGGAGAGAAGGGCACTTAGAGAGCATTCAAGAGGAGGAGGAGAGAAGGGCACTTAGAGAGCATGTCAAAAGGAGGAGGAGAGAAGGGCACTTAGAGAGCATGTCAAGAAGAGGAGGAGAGAAGGGCACTTAGAGAGCATGTCAAGAGGAGGAGGAGAGAAGGGCACTTAGAGAGCATGTCAAGAAGAGGAGGAGAGAAGGGCACTTAGAGAGCATGTCAAGAAGAGGAGGAGAGAAGGGCACTTAGAGAGCATGTCAAGAAGAGGAGGAGAGAAGGGCACTTAGAGAGCATGTCAAGAGGAGGAGGAGAGAAGGGCACTTAGAGAGCATGTCAAGGGGCGAGGAGGAGAGAAGGGCACTTAGAGAGCATGTCAAGGGGCGAGGAGGAGAGAAGGGCACTTAGAGAGCATGTCAAGAAGAGGAGGAGAGAAGGGCACTTAGAGAGCATGTCAAGAAGAGGAGGAGAGAAGGGCACTTAGAGAGCATGTCAAGAAGAGGAGGAGAGAAGGGCACTTAGAGAGCATGTCAAGAGGAGGAGGAGAGAAGGGCACTTAGAGAACATGTCAAGGGGCGAGGAGGAGAGAAGGGCACTTAGAGAGCATGTCAAGAAGAGGAGGAGAGAAGGGCACTTAGAGAGCATGTCAAGGGGCGAGGAGGAGAGAAGGGCACTTAGAGAGAATGTCAAGAAGAGGAGGAGAGAAGGGCACTTAGAGAGCATGTCAAGAAGAGGAGGAGAGAAGGGCACTTAGAGAGCATGTCAAGAAGAGGAGGAGAGAAGGGCACTTAGAGAGCATGTCAAGAGGAGGAGGAGAGAAGGGCACTTAGAGAGCATGTCAAGGGGCGAGGAGGAGAGAAGGGCACTTAGAGAGCATGTCAAGAAGAGGAGGAGAGAAGGGCACTTAGAGAGCATGTCAAGAAGAGGAGGAGAGAAGGGCACTTAGAGAGCATGTCAAGGGGCGAGGAGGAGAGAAGGGCACTTAGAGAGCATGTCAAGAAGAGGAGGAGAGAAGGGCACTTAGAGAGCATGTCAAGGGGCGAGGAGGAGAGAAGGGCACTTAGAGAGCATGTCAAGAAGAGGAGGAGAGAAGGGCACTTAGAGAGCATGTCAAGGGGCGAGGAGGAGAGAAGGGCACTTAGAGAGCATGTCAAGAGGAGGAGGAGAGAAGGGCACTTAGAGAGCATGTCAAGAAGAGGAGGAGAGAAGGGCACTTAGAGAGCATGTCAAGGGGCGAGGAGGAGAGAAGGGCACTTAGAGAGCATGTCAAGGGGCGAGGAGGTGAGAAGGGCACTTAGAGAGCATGTCAAGAAGAGGAGGAGAAAAGGGCACTTAGAGAGCATGTCAAGAAGAGGAGGAGAGAAGGGCACTTAGAGAGCATGTCAAGAAGAGGAGGAGGGGAGGAGGATGCCCTCAAAGCCATGTACAGTAGCCTACACTGTCTATTTCTCTCTCTCACTTATTGTCTCTCCCTCTCTCTTCCTCACCATCTCTCCCTTTCAAATCTTCTCTATTTCTATCATTCACACCTCATGTTTTCTTATGAGTATGTAAACTAGCTAGCTGTGTCCCCAAAGCCTAGCGGATGACCATCTCCTACATCTCCTCTCTGTTGACAAGCTTGTCATGTCCTTTACTCACCTGTAGAGAGAGACCTGTCTGTTTCATTGTCTATCACAATCTGGTTCACCTCACCTGCTCTGCTACAGTCACTGTCCCCTATTTCCCCCAAATAATAAAGTAATGTATCTATATACAGTGCATTCTGAAAGTATTCAGACCCATTGACTTTTTCCACCTTATATGTTACAGCCTTATTCTAAAATTGATTAAATACTATGTTTTCCTCATCAATTTACACACAATACCCCATAATGACAAAACAAAAACAGGTTTTTAGAAATGTTTAGAAACAGAAATACCTTATTTACATAAGTATTCAGACCCTTTGCTATGAGACTTGAAATTGAGCTCAGGTGCATCCTGTTTCCATTGATCATCCTTGAGATGTTTCTACAACTTGATTGGAGTCCACCTGTGGTAAATTCAATTGATTGGACCTGATTTGGAAAGGCACACACCTATCTATATAAGGTCCCACAGTTGACAGTGCATGTCAGAGCAGAAAACAAGCCATGAGGTCGAAGGAATTATCCGTAGAGCTGGGGAAGGATCACAGATCTGGGGAAGGGTACCAAAAAATTGCTGCAGCATTGAAGGTCCCCAAGAACACAATGGCCTCCAGTTTGGAACCACCAAGACTCTTCCTAGAGCTGGCCGCCCGGCCAAACTGAGCAATCAGGGGAGAAGGGCCTTGGTCAGGGAGGTGACCAAAAACTCAATGGTCACTCTGACGAGTTCCTCTGTGGAGATGGGAGAACCTTCCAGAAGGACAACCATCTCTGCAGCACTCCACCAATCAGGCCTTTATGGTAGAGTGGCCAGATGGAAGCCACTCCTCAGTAAATGGCACATGACAGCCCGCTTGTAGTTTGCCAAAAGGCACCTAAAGGATTCTCAGACCATGAGAAACAAGATTCTCTGGTCTGATGAAACCAAGATGTAACTTTTTGGCCTGAATGCCAACCGTTGCGTCTGGAGGAAACCTGGCACCATCCCTACGGTGAAGCATGGTGGTGGCAGCATCATGCTGTGGGGATGTTTTTCAGCGGCAGGGACTGGAAGACTAGTCAGGATCGAGGGAAATATGAACAGCGCAAAGTACAGAGAGATCCTTGATGAAAACCTACTCCAGAGTGCTCAGGACCTCAGACTGGGGCGAAGGTTCACCTTCCAAAAGAAGAACAACCCTAAGCACACAGCCAAGACAACGCAGGAATGGCTTCAGGACAAGTCTATGAATGTCCTTGAGTGGCCCAGCCAGAGCCCGGATTTGAACCCGATCGAACATCTCTGTAGAGACCTGAAAATAGCTGTGCAGCGACGCTCCCCATCCAACCTGACAGAGCTTGAGAGGATCTGCAGAGAAGAATGGGAGAAACTCCGCAAATACAGGTGTGCCAAGCTTGTAGCATCATCCCCAAGAAGACTCGAGGCTGGAATCGCTGCCAAAGGTGCTTCAACAAAGTACTGAGTAAAAGTTCTGAATAGTTATGTAAATGTGATATTTCCGTTTTTTTATTTTAATAAATTAGCAAAAGGTTCTAAAAACCTGTTTTTGCTTTGTCATTATGGGGTATTGTGTGTAGATTGATGAGGAAAAACAACAATTGAATCAATTTTAGAATAAGGCTGTAACGTAACAAAATGTGGAAAAAGTCAAGGGGTCTGAATACTTTCCGAATGCACTGTACATATCTGTACATCACCGTAACAGTGTGATAAGACTTCATTGTTATTATGACATCATCAATGAAGCTTTCGGTTTAATGTCATTGTGGAAGGTTGACAGGACTCAAACCGATCGTCTTCAAAATAAATGTACACAGTTAAACTTGTGCCTGGAAGACTTTTAGATTGTTGATGACTAAGTTGTTGTTTTTATTTTTTATTCTGTTAGCCCACATTGAGCCGCAGCATGTAGTGTTGATGGTGTGTCTCTTAGTTATTCCTGCCATTACTCATAGTTAATCTGGCAGTATGATCAGAGCATGCATCCATGTTTTATATCACACAGTAGCAGGATGCTCCATTTGGTGCTGGGATGTAGAGATCTCTTCTGGCAGAGAAAGAGGGAGAGAGAAAAAAGGGGGGAGAGAGAGGGGAGTGAGAGAAGGAAAGAGAGAGAGAAGGAGTGAGGGAGTGTGAGATAGTAGGGAAAGCAAGAGGGGAGAGAGAGAAACAGAGAGAGAGAGCGGAGAGAGAGAGAGAGAGAGACAGAGAGAGAGAGCGAGAGACCCTACGTATAAGTACATAGCTACCTCAATTACCTCGTACCAATGCACATCGACTCGGTACTGGTACTCCCTGTATATACTGTAGACGTTATTTTTACTCGTCATTGTTATTCACTGTGTATTTATTCCTTGTGTCACTATATTTAATTTTTTATCTTTAACTCTGGATTGTTGAAAAAGGACCCGTAAGTAAACATTTCACTGTTAGTCTACACCTGGTGTTTACGAGGCATAGGATAAATAAAATACAATTTGATTTGAGGATGATCAGCAGTTGACAAGACTTTCTCCAGCTGCTTTACCAGGAAACACTCAGATGGGTTACAATTTAACGGTGGAACGGACTGCTTAAATGAAAAAGTTAGTGGTTATGAACTATTATAGTTGGTTAACCATTAGGCTAATCAAATGATCAAATCAAATCACATTGCACAGAATATAACGGGTGTAGACTTAACCGTGAAATGCTTGCTTATAAGGCATTCCCATCGATGCAGAGTAAAAACATTGTTACACAATAAAAAACACAATAATAGAGCTATATACAGGGAGTACCAGTACAAGATCAATGTGCAGGGGTACGAAACATTTGAGGTACACTATATATACAACAGTATGTGGACACCCCTTCAAATTAGTGGAACACAAAATATCACTGTCACGCCCTGACTCTGGGGACTCGTATTTGTTGAGTCAGGGTGTGTATTTTCTGTGTGGTATGTTCTATGTTGCATTTTCTATGTTTAGATCTAGATCGTGTAGATCTATGTTGGCCGGTGTGGTTCCCAATCAG